GGGTACTGAGAAACTAATGGCTTGTGTAGTATTTTAGTCTTTAAGCTTCCATTGTAAATGGTATGAAAAATTGAGTCTCTTGGCTGATGCTTAAATCCATCTTTCCCTTTTACTAAATTATTGTCACTATCCTTTCTTGTTTCTCTTTTTAATACTCAGAAAATGAAATCTGGAGATATTTATTTTTGTAGGAGGTGTGCATGCACATATTAGAAATCTGAGATTTCCCCCCAAATGAATATGATCAGAGAAATGATACACAAATGATTTTCTGTATGATCTGTTATTGCACAGTGAACTCAAAAGCATAGACTGTAATAAGTACTTTAAAGGAACTAAGTGGCTTCTTTAAAATTTGAATAATAGAGTGCTTTTGGAGGAGTATTTTTATAGAATGTTGATAATGTGAAGTAAAATGCTTTCTAATCTATCTAGATATTTGCTTGTACTTGTTCCTACATTACTGTATTTTTTTTTTTAAAAAATCAAATTAAATAGAGTGATTTAGGGATGATAATGAAAGTCAGAGGGAAAAAAAAAGAGAACCCAGCCCTGCAATACTTATTCTGGAAAAATTCCCATTGAAGTTTGCGGAACTGGGTTGGTTTGAAGAAATGGTCTGAGAGAATGAGGGACAGAATGAGAGAGAGAGAAACTAAGGCCTAAAAATACTCATTATTTGTAGGCGTCTCCATTATCAGGTGCCCAGCTTGAGATAACTTGATATTGATTTCCAGAGGTGCTAACTGGTTGCTGCCCCCCTTAGTTGCATTGGAATTGTGGGTGCTAAAAGTCAGACTTCTATGTTACTCAAGTTGTGCATCCAAAATTTGAGGTATTCCTAAAGTAGTGGACAGACACTGTTGAAAATGTAGTGCTAATTAGATGAACAGAGACTGTTAGTTGTGGACTGTTGTATATGCTTCTTTTAATTTTGACTAAACCTGATTCACTTTTAACCTAAATTTCATATGAACCCCATGACCTCTTCTAGGTATAATAGGCCACTAATAAGGGCAGGCTACTAGTATGATCTGGTACGGTAACTCCCTTGAATCACTTTCTTTCAGAATATTTAGCACCTAACACGTATGCCAGAAATGTTTGGATTTTGGAGTTTAAAATGTTGCCATTTTTGGAGAGCTATGAAATGTTTATTTTGAAGTAGTCTGCTGTAATCTATTGGCTAGTTCTGTAGCCATACTATATTTGTGATAGTTGAGGCAGGCACACAAAATATCTCATTAATGTTTTTTGGACAGACTCTGTTGATACCACACTGGCAGAGGGCACCATCAATGGTAGGTCTGGTGTCTTGCTGAGATTTATGAAAGAGGATTGATTCAGAAAACAAACAAGCAAACAAAAATATAAACAACCACAAAGCAGGACCATACAAACTGAGGTTCAGTAAGTGGACAGTACCTGAATTCAACAGTTTGCAAGGAAGATTGGGATGAAATCTGAAAACACTTATGAAACCATACGGCTGTCGTTTGGCTAAAAACTCAGTGTGGCTGTCTGAACTTGCAGGAAACAAAATAGGTATGTTAATAAGAAAGCTGGCAGTGCTTATATGATACACAGGATGACACTGACTCTTGAGTCTGCTTGTTTAAAACAGTATGTTGAAAACTTTTCATAGTACAGCTTCATAAGATCCCTCATGGGACTCTTTGTATATGGCGCACATCACAGATGGCAACAAAAAGGGCTTACTTTGTCTGGAGCTGATTTCTGATGTCCGTCTGTGTCATAAGCAAGTGACAGAAGCAATTCTTGCCTTTGGAACTTAGGCCCAGTAAAGCTTTCAGTCTGTGAATTAATTTAGAAGGAAATGACTCGCATTGGAAACCATTTCTATGTTTGGTAAAATTTACTTGCTACTCTTTCGCCATTCTAGGTATTTTGCTAATGCACTCACATTTTGGGCCAAGTGCAAGCCTGGTGTAAGAATGCAGTGTTACTGAAGCCCATATTCAAAGAGTCCCTAGCTACCATAGAGCCTGTGTAGCCAACTCCCTGCGTCCCCCAGTATAGGGGATGACAACTTGCTGATTGCAGAAAACCGATCACACTTGCCTTGCCCCTTCCCCGAGGCCCGGCCCCTGCCATGGGGACTTGGCGTGCTGACCCTGCCCTGAGTGCTGGCTCTGCAGCTCCAATTGGCCAGGAACCATGTGGTCCTAGCGCCTGTGGCCGGGGGCAGCGTGCGGAGCCACCTGGCCACGCCTCCACCTAGGAGCCGGAGGGAAATGCCGGCTGCTTCATGGAGCCTCGTGGAGCCAGACAGGGAGTCTGCCTTATCCCCACTGCGCTGCCGACCACGCTTTTAACAACCTGGTCAGCAAGGCTGACTGGAGACGCCAGGGTCCCTTTTTGACTGGGCGTTCCGGTCGAAAACTGGATGCCTGGCAACCCTAAATGATTCGTGAGCAGGAGGAGAGGGCATGTCTAGAGTACTATTTCTGCTAATGAAATTTGTGACCTGCCAGTTGTTACTTGTTGGACATTACTTTTGGAACCATAGCCAGTAAGCATAGTGTAAAGCAGCCTCAAGATTGCTCTCCATTATGCCAGGGCTGAAGGTAGCACAAAACCAATCTCAGAATAAGGCAGCTGCTCTGGAAACTTTGTGGTCTTCTCCAAAGCAGCACCCAGCAGACACCGGTCCCAGCTGAGAATCCAGGCCAAAATATCTAGGGCAGTTCTTTTGGAAGGCCTAAATTAATCATATTCCTTTTTAAACAATTGAAACATAATTCTGTCCTAAGTTTCAAAGCTTTAAGGGTTTTTTGCATGTTGTGATTTCTTAGTGGGCTTTCATTACTTTTCCATCTATACAGTTTCACAGATAATGACAGGCCCTCAAAACCTGCAGAACATTGCATGTAACATTGCTTCTGCAGCTATTTACCACTTCATTAGCTTTTTCAATAGTGAAGATAAGTTAGCATTTTGTCATGAAATTTGAATTGCCAACTTGTCTTACTGAAACACATGAACCAAGGTATAATAACTCTCACAAAGTGCATTAACGCTTGCACAAGCAGATGCAATCCCCTAAGAAAAGAAAATTTGTGGGTTGTTGGTTTTTTTGTGATGGTGAAGCCAATTTTTTTTTTACATTTTCTCCAGCAAATTTTGCTGCTTTGCAGAACATCTGAAAGTACAGTAGGAGACATTTAGCTCTTGTCTAAGTGGGAGCAAATGAACTGACTGCAATAAACTTTATCAGAGCTACGTTTGTCCATACGGTTCACACATTACACTTTAAATGTAATTGAACCACCGGACCAGTTTCAGTGTGATTTTTGTCTTAAAGTTATCAGGCCAGATTCTCATCAACACTAAGGACTTTTTACATCACAGGAAAGTGTGCCCAACTGTGATTGATACCCACTTTAAGGCATCTTTATACTGCCAAGCAGTGGTAAAGTGGCAGTTGGCTATGACTTCACTACAGAAAAACAGTGTGGCTTTATACTGTGGTAGCCATCTTAAAATAAAATAGTAGTGGAGATGGGCACTGTGGTTTTTAACCTGTACGTAACCAGTTGAGGTCAACACTAGGTGTGTAGTACTGGGGTCAGTTAGGTACACTGAGTACTTTAACTCTCAGTAGAGTTTGTCTCACATTAGCTATCTCAGTGTAAAAACACCGACTTATTCCCCCGTGAAGACATAGCCTTAGTGTAAATGAAAATCAGGCCTGATACCTTTAAGGCAGACTTTCATGGAATTTGGTTCCGTGGTTCATGAAGTGAGATAGCATTACTGTTAGGTTTTCAAATATCTCCCCGATGACACTAGCGGCAGAACCCCATAAAACTCCTGCCAGGCTTTCAGCACCATCTGTTATGCTGCTGATACGTTTTTCATATCAGCTTCAATGTCAATGCCATACTCTGCAAACTATTCATTGTTGCGTCAGTGACTGTCGCTCCATTCAGTGAAGGTAACTCATTGAACCCAAACAAATGCAATAATCTTTAATTTCACTAACAGAGGTAACTATTCATAGCCTTTCTCTTTTACACCATCCAGAAGTTTTGCAGTTTTGACTTCTATTAAAGTTTTTTAAAGTTTGGTGATGGTTAGAAAAATCACTGTAAAAATAGCATCATTTTTCTCAACAGATCTATTCCTTGTGTGCATTCAGAGTCTATTCTGTTTGCCTTTTCTAAAAAACAAACAGGCAAACTGTTTATTGCTTTTAATTCTGTTAGCACACCAGCACTGTAATGGTAGAGAGAAAGTTGTATCCTCTTCTGGCTCACATATTATCAACCACATTTTTAACCAAGATCCAATTGCAAAATATTACTGATCATTATGCCTGAGTTAGAACAATCCCAGATTGATTTGCAGTCTTAGCAATTAGAGAAAAAAATGTTTACCTTTAAATAAAGCCCTTTATTGCTTCTTAGTAACTCCAGCTCCACCACAGAACCTCATGATGCCATTCTTACCATCATTTTTTTTTTTTGGAGTATCATGACACTTCAAGGTTCACTAGGCCCATTCCTGACCTCACGCTTGAGATTTCAAGGATTAGAAGCCTATTGATATCAATGGGAGTCTTTCCATTAACCTGAATATGCTTTGGGTAGTGGAAAGACTCCCATTGATATCAGTAGGCTTTGAAACAGACCCTTTGGAAGGGCAGAATTTGGCCCACTGAACTAATCATTTTTGTGCTGTTCAGCTTCAGTATCACTAATCAAAAGAGGGGTTGGTTTTTTTGCTCAGCATGAAAACATTTGGACAAGACTTTCTTCCCAGTTACAGAATGAAGAAGGCAAGCAGGTCAGAATAAATGTGTTGTTTTATACCTTGTGCTTCAACTTTTCCCTTTTATTTCTCTTGTATCTCTTTGAAAAAAAATCCTTTACAATATCTTATCTCTTCGCTTTTGATCTACCTCATAGCCATTTTTTAAATGTAGTTTCCGCTTCTGAACATTCTTGGTAATTTGCTTGCCTCTTTATCCTCCACAGATGCTCCACCCATCTGAGGATCCTCTCCTTTATAACATCTTCGTTTCAAAACTGCCTACAAGACAGTGAATCTGGTTCACAGTCAGTACTTACTCAGCAGGAGACATTTCTCACTCACATTTGATACCTGCTGGCTGCTGCTTTCAATTATGGCCTATACTGGAGAGCAGAACTGTTGAAGTAACGGAATCAATGATGTAATCAAACTAGTTAAGATGCTTGCAGGGTAGCTACAGGGTTCTGGGCATTGTCTAATTCCTGCCATAAGCAAAATAGTGACAGGTCCTGCTCTTGTTTTGTTGCTTTCTTAGATGGCAAAAAACTAGACATTTGTTCATTATATTGTGAAATCACATCCCGGGATATTGTTGAATCTGCCCTGCAGCTAATTATCAGATGATTGTAGGTAATGAAAATAACCTTTCCCTTCTACTAGGAATATAGTATTAACCTTGATCAAGTAGGTGCATTATTTTTGTGTGTTCCTGGCCCTGTGGTACATATGGATTTATTTGATATGAATTAATGGTACTGTTTCCCAGAATTTGGGTATTGGTGTTTTACCAGAGGAATGGGCATTTTATACACTGCATCTTGGCACTGAGAATGACCAGAGACGGTGGGCCTGATTCACATTTACACTAAGGCTATTTAACAATGCTCTGGTTGTGGAAAGGGGCCTTAAATAGGGTATAAACAGAATTTACCGTGGGCATGATTCTGGTCTCACACTAGTTTTCCACTAATGAAATTCTAGTTATGTCACTGATGTTGTCCTGTGTGGCAGAGTAGAATCAGACCCATAGCCTCTATACAGTTCTCCCCCTTCTCATTCTCACACACCCCACAGCACACATGATATGGGAGGAAAGTTCTACGACCCTTCTGGAGCCCTCAGAATCGCCAGCACCCATTTTTCCTCTTTGCAACTTGTTACAGCCATCCTTCTTCTACTGAGGCTGTCTGGATGGCAGTCCCGTGGGCACTCTTGAGTGGTTGCTGTTCATTAAAGTGAGGTATTCTGTCTCTTTGAATAGCAAGAATGCAAGAAAAGAAGGCTAAGTCCTTCCCCTGTATGGCAATTCAGAGCATGACCAGTAGGCTGGCCATTTGATGCTATTGCAATAATATCTTCACTTCAGTGCTGTATCTAACATCTAGCTCTGTTTTCTGTGTTTCGTTTGTTTTATCATGGGGTTTCCATGTATTACATATGGCCTTTAAAAGCTAGAGCTCAAATTCCACTGCTGAAGAAGCATGTGGTATCAAAGGACTAACAGTAGTACAGATCTAAGTAGTGGTGTGATTCACTAGAGGTGATGTGCAGTATAGTGAGTAGTTGTAAACACATTGTAATAATCTCTGATGTTACATGCCACTTGTTGTCATGCCCTACATTTTCCTCTTACACATCTCATGCATGCAATTTCCAATTGAGATTCATTTTAATGTATCCTTAATATGTTCCTTAACATGTTAATGGCACTTTGACATTTTAAGGACAGAGGAACGGTGCCAAAACTATGGAAAAATCTTTAACCAACATACTAGTTTAAATAATTCAGCACTCATAGTTTTAAGACCCAAAGGTATTTTTACATGTGTAGATGTAAAGATTAGATGCATGTTTGGGGAGATCACTGCTGTCCGACTTTAGTAAAGGACATAAAGAAGTTGTACATTTAACACAAGCTTGTACTGGTATGAAATAGATGCCATGATTTTCTGATCATGTGTGAGAACAGAATCTCAAGTTTAGTGTAGGAGACCTGTGGTAATTTAAGGTAGGGTAACAAAACAGTGACATCCATTATTTTAAATCTGAGAACATCAGAATATCAAATTATGCTTCTCCCACTTACTGTGGCAATGTACTTTAGAGGAGGCTTTAGAGAAATTACTTACTTGACTCTTGGGGCAAGTCTACACTACAGCATTCCATCGTCGCAGCTGCACCAATGCAACTGCGTCAGTGTACCGCATCTGGTGAAGATGCGCTATGCCGACCGGAGAGCAGTCTCCCGTCAGCATAGTTTCTGCCTCTTGTGGAGATGGAGTAATTATGTTGGTCGGAGAGTGTTTCCTGACGAAAGCGCTGGTGTGGACAGCACTTAGGTTGCTGTAACTTGTGTCGCTCAAGGGGGTGTCTTTTTCACACCTCTGAGTGATGTAACTTAAGTGGTATTGTAGACCAACCCTTAGAAAAACACCAGCAAGAGGAACTTGGCTTGTCCCTTGCCTGGATTGGAGTAGCCATTCTGATATATTAAAATGAAGACAAAGGGCTTACTCAGGCGAAACACCCATTTGCATCATTTAGAGTTTTGCTTGAGTAAGGACTGTTTTCCCGTAATCACTGTGTTCCTTGGACAAACCATTTTGAATCTGATCCAGTAAAGCGGAGCAAGCTCCTTCATCTGGCACATTAAATGGAAGCTCAGCTGGAAAAGGAAATGTAGTATTTTGCCTTTACATTTCAACTGAGTGAGAATTTATTATTTTAAGCTTAGAGGGTGATTAGCATCTCCAAGCAATGTAACATCACTTACGAAGTCAGGTGACAGATCGCTGGGCTAAATACGTGGATATAATTAGGCACGTTGATTCTATTAATGAAAACAAAAATAAATGAATGTCATGTGCATGCTTCCCGTGCAGTTCTTTCAGAGTAACTCACTTCTGACTTGCAGCACTCCTGCTGTTCGAGTCTGGGATCTTTCTTTGACACAGAAAGTCTTTCATGCAAATTTGCGTGGTGGGCAAGCATCCAAGAGAGAATAGTTTAAAGTCTAAACCCACTTCCACTTTTGACCAGATTTACATTTGAACCAGGGTGGCTAATGGTGAAAGACATGTATAGCACTGTGCAAGTGGGACCTCTCTCACACAGTTTTTAAAAAGACCCAGGCCCTGATTCTCCTCTCACCCACTGCATTGATTTCAGTGGAATTACTCATGATTTATACCAGTGTGAGAAGAGAAAGAATTAGATTCATGATTTCTAAAACAAGCGAGGGATTTTTTTCCACTTGCACTCAAGCTTGTGGTAAATTCTTAGATTTGTGCCAAAAAATATGAAAAGAAGTCACCAACTGTTCTGCAGCTCTTTAGGCAATTATCACTGAACACACACCATGGTTCAAATGCCATGAGCACAAAGAACTGCAGAAAGCAAAATCTATGTAAATTGCAAACAAACAAGTGATGCAAACCCTAATAGTACTTCTTGGTTAATACACATTGATTGTAAAATTTAAACAACATTTCAGTGATCCAGTAAATGTTTCGATTAATATAATAAATGATTGGAGGGTACATGGAAACAATGTTTGGAAGTGAATTTCTCTCTGAGAAGTATTGAATATATTCTATTTATGGACCCATAATATTTGTTAAAGAGCTTAGTGAAACCAGTAGACCCAACAGGGCGGGCATTAGGCTGAGATCATACCAGTAGCTCCATGCTTTGGTTGCTATGAGAGTCACAAGAAGAAATAGATCATGTTGAATAAGAAGTGAGAAATACTATAATCTGATGATTTGGTATTTTGGCAGAGTTCTTTTTCTTACTACAATTAAAGCAGATATTTAATACTATACTCAAAACTTGCCATTGTTACTGTGACTTTATTTTTGCAATTATTCATGGATTTGATAGTACAAAGCAAAAACGTTGTAGATCACGGGGAGCAGGAGAGGGCAGAAAGGCTCGGAGACCTCCATTGAGTAGCTAAGTACTCTCCATCTTTAGGATGCACCTTTAGGACGCAGGATGTGATTGGCAGGAACCGTATGCTTACACCAGGCCTCCAGTGGGAATCAGCATGCTCAGAGTGCCTAGAAGTAAATATGATTGCTTTCCCTGATAATTTTTTGCCCCGATTCCCCATTGTTCCCCTGGGTCCATGGAGTCTAGGGGCTGGATTCTGCCATCTCTTGAAAACTAGCTTATGGGACCTTTGTGACTTTAGCACTTCTGATGTTGCAGCGGGCTTAAGCCCTCCTTCTGTTCTGGGGACTTTGGCTTCTCTGCATGTCTGCTAACGGCGGGGAGCATGATGGTACTCCCCCCTCTCCTCTGGGCTACTACTCACAGTTAGTTACCTTTGTTTTATTTCACAGAAAAATAAACAAATTCTTACAGGCAAGACTCATTAACTTTGTGAAGTAAAACAAATGGGGACAAAAGCAGTTCTCTGGTATGTCCTTCGACTCACATTATTTCACCAGAAGATAACTATGCTAGTTGATGAGGAGGGCTGGTGTAATGTTCAGCACAGTCTTCTATCTTCCATGTTTGAACACCAGCAGGAATTCCAGGCCTGATTCTGATCTCTTTTGTGCTGATGCAAATCAGGAGCAAATCCAGAGAAGACAGTGGGGATACACTGGTGTAAAACTGATAAATGTGTGAGGAGAATTGGGCCTTCTGCACAGAAGTGGAGGTTTTTTTAACCTGCTGTTTTCAGTATGTTAGTTTAATTTGCATCGTTCACAGAATTTCATCTATTCCTTGCACATTTGTCCTCTTCCTCAGTTATATCTCCATGCTTTGGCAGGAGGAATACATATAAATGAAAGTGTGTGCTCTTTAATAAGAAGTAAAAGTTTTTACTAGTAGGGGCTGAGATTTGGCTTGAAGTGGTAACTGCAATAAATAAACCTGAGAGAAGTGAATCCTGCTTTTTTTGTTGCCATGGTGTTGTTTGTCAGCGTGGGTGTTACTGCTATGTGGACTTCAGCGTGTAGGTGGCTTAGACAAAGGCTTGCTCGGTAAAAGAAGTTCTATCGAGATACAGCTGTAAATTATCTTCAGACCAGCGTTGTGGATCTGCTAGCACACATTGCACTTTGCTGTGCCTGCAGGGGCTGTTGTGTCCTTTGATTGAGTCCATTCCCAAGGGAAGGCATCTGCAGGACAGCACTACCCACTGCTGTCACTGCGCCAATTCTCTGCTGGATATCAGGCAGAGTGGAGGATTCAGGACACTTGCCTTGCTGTAGCTCCCTTCCAGACAGATTTAGTCAGCCTGCACTAGATCTGGGTGAATAACTCTTTCCATTCAGTGGCAGTCTGAAAAAAGAATGTTAATAATAATGAAAAAATTGTCTTGAGTCAAACGACTTGGCCCTATTTCACTTGCCTTGATTTCAGCGGGAGCCCACTCGTCCCAATGGAGCTTGCCCCACTATGTGGTCATTTTTTCACTAATTTTCTCCTTTCTGTGCTTTCTCAAGATGCCCTCCATTCCTAGCTTTTACTCACCTTCTTTCTGAGCCTGATAATACAGCTCCACGTTATCTTTCATGTGGGCCCCCTCTGTGGTGAAAATCCCCTTTTAGGATGTCCCCAGGGCAAGCGCTGGCTGCAGAAGCCCTGATATCACAGCTTCAAGAGGTACCAGGGAGTGGGAAGGAGGCATAGCGCCTCTACTTGATGGCCTTGATCTTTATGAGATCCTGCAAGAAACAGGTTTGTGGTGAACTTTGTTACCTTTTCCCCATTTTTTGCCCTATCACATCCCTGCGACACGTCTCTGTAAAGAGACCTTCTTCCAAAGCTGCCTGCAGGAGGTTTTTCCAAGGGAGGAGGTAATCAGGATATCTTCTTATAAGGCTCTCTAGACATCCTGGCACACATTCAGACGGTCTGGGGATGGATACTTGACCTAACCATAGTCTCTGGATAATGCCATTATTCTAGAGAAGCATTTTTTTAGCGAGATCCCTGCAGTTTTGTCTAGAATTAATATTCCCATTTGCTTCTTGTCTCAACAAATACTCTTCATACAAAGTGAAGCAGCTAATGTGCTCAGATTACCTAGACAACATGATAAAATGAAATTTGGATTAATAATGGAGAAAGATATATATTCATAGTGCTCATTTTGTAAAGATGATAAAAATACTGGAAGGTCAACGATGTTGCCTATCATCAAATAAATTGTGTTCACATTGTTTCAGTAGATCCAGTTTAATCCAAAAATGCTTATACATTCATTTTTGTATTACAGATTAAAATAACCAATTCACTGTTTAAACGGCCCAGACAGCACAACATTCGTAGCTTTTCACTGCAGATGGCTGCAGGATAATAACACCAATATGAAAGAAAAATAGCGCTTGCTGGATTTTTGTTTGGTTAATTCTGTGTTGTCTGTGGGTGCAATATTTTCGCATACATGCACAGATTCTCTTAATGCAGCAGTATAACAGTATTCACTGTCACACGTATATAGTGCTTTAGATGGGAGGGAGACCTTGAGTGGGAAAAGGAACTGTTGGTTTTGAAATCTAAAACTGCGAGTTATGAGAAGCAGAGTTGTCGAGCTTGATTCTTGTTTACATGAAGGCCAATTTACATCACTTTGGTAGTATACAGGAGCATAAAAGTAGAAGTACATTATATTTACACTCATATGAAGACCTCTTTGCATTCCCAGACCTATGCTGAATGTCCTTAGGATAAATGAGACCAGTTAAATATAAAATAGATAGTAAATAGTGATATATAATCTTCTATTAATAGGTAGCTAGTGTCCAACATAATGAAAATAAAAATAATACACTAAATAAAAAAGAAGTATTTCATGCATAGTTTTTGAAGTATTTTATGAAGGATGGTAAGTCTTAATATCCCCATTTTACAAATGGGGAAACTGAGGCACAGAGCAGTGAATGGCTCAACATCACACAGCAGGTCACTTTCAGAGCCAGGAATAGAGTATAGCTTTTTATTAATACTCAGTACGATGCACAATAAGTGCAATGAGCATTATGTAGAATAATTAATTGTATGAGGTGTACAATTGATGTTTTCATGAGGGAAAATTTTGCAAGGTGAAAGATGAGCATGCCAGCACTGGCAATTGCATTAGCAGTTTTTTGCATAGCACGGTCAGGGACAACTATTCTAGAGACAAAGCTGTTTGATTAATCAAATCAATTTTCCACTGTAACAATGCAGAGAGGTTATGTCTGCCAGCAATCTAATTTGAAATCAAATGTTTATGGATTAATGAACACAAGACAATTGCTTCCAAGCTTCTTTTCAAACAAAAGATCTTAGGTCTTTAGAAATGTGGATAAGTAGAGAATCATTAGCCAGGGCTGGCAGTACAAATAGACCTAACTCCCTAAACAAACCCTCTTTACTACCCCCCCAAAAGAAAAACCCCCAAACCCCCACCCTTGGATTATTATTTATTTGGTTAAACCATAGTATGCCATAAATAAGGGTAACTCCATGTATTTCAGTGAATCAGGTCCCTCAAATTTAAAGGAAATAGGAAACTTATCCGTGGTCTAACATTATAATTCAGTAACATTGAGTTCAATGGAACTGTGCCTGTTTACATCAATGGAGGATTGAAATCATAATCTCCTTTTCAAAAAAGAAATCCAGGCCATGTTTTGGAATGACCCTTTTGCTAAAATATATTGGAAAATTCAGTCTCCCTTTTGTACTCTTACGTGAGGTTACTCATGACATTATCTTTAAAATCTCCAAACAATTGGCTTATTATAAAAGGAAACATGTAATCCACTTGAGTATAAAAGAAACTTCTTCTGCTTTTATAAGAAACAACTGAATTAATTCTGGTACCATTTTGTGTTCCCTTTGGTCCCTTTCTTCCCTAAGAAGACTATTTGCTTTGGTTTGATACTAAATTGGTGGTATCTAAATGCTCCCCATTGAGTTTAACAGTTAATTTTGCATATTGGAAAAAGAAATCTTTGCTCTGATGTTTTATGTCATCCCCATGGTGCCACTGACAAATAAGAAGCATATAGCTCTTATTGAGTCAAGAGAATAGTACAACTTCTCTGAAGAAAATTGGCTGGCTTTCACTCACTACATAAAAAATGGTCAGTTAAACACAGAAGCAGCTGGAAGTGAAAATCCTCCTGTTGTCAAAGGTGAAAATTAAACTGCTTCCTGCTTTGACTTGCTCCTTTTCCCTCTAAGATTATTTTATCTTTATGTTGTAATGCTTATACTACTGGTTAAGGCCAGCCCGCTAATGTGAACGCCTGGAATCAATTTTACAAGCCTTCTTCACTTTGGGTAGCCCTTGCTTTACGAGTAGTTTCACTGATTTCCAAGCAAAATATACCTGAGTCTCTGAATTTACGTTTTAAGACTGGTTTCAGAGGAACAGCCGTGTTAGTCTGTATTCGCAAAAAGAAAAGGAGTACTTGTGGCACCTTAGAGACTAACCAATTTATGTGAGCATGAGCTTTCGTGAGCTACAGCTCACTTCATCGGATGTATACCGTGGAAACTGAGCTACATGTAGCTCTTCTGCAAAGATCTGAAGAGGAGCTCTGTGTAGCTTGAGAGCTTGTCTCTTTCACCAACAGAAATTGGTCCCATAAACATATTACCTCATCCATCTTATTTCTCTGTATCTCATATTGTTTTTACTGCTTCTTTATAATTTCAGAAGTTACAACAAATAATATCCATGGCAAAGTGAATAAGATGATATAACAATTGTCTCACAACACTGTGCATGTATGGAGCACTGTCTAAGATTGAATTAGGCTGTTCTCAGTGGTGGCAGATGACAGAACAAGGAGCAATGGTCTCAAGTTGCAGTGAGGGAGGTCTAGTTTGGATATTAGGAAAAACTATTTCACTAGGAGGGGGGTGAAGCACACTGGAATGGGTTACCTAGGGAGGTGGTGGAATCTCCTTTCTTAGAGGTATTTAAGGCCCGGCTTGACAAAGCCCTGGCTGGGATGATTTAGTTGGTGTTGGTCCTGCTTTGAGCAGGGGTTGGACTAGATGACCTCCTGATGTCTCTTCCAACCCTAATCTTCTATGATCCTATGACTATGAGATATGTAGGGAGCTTTGCATCAGGAGAGTAAGACAAAGTTATTCTACTGCACCAGGAAATATGGCTTTGTACAACTTACCCAGAGAACATCAGCATATAGGCAATTTATGAATGTGTTACCACAGAGTTCAGAGTCACTTTCAACACTTTTAAGACCAGCTTTACTTCTCTTTTGAGAAATCCCAAACTACTTTTCATCTTTATAATACAAAAATTGACTAGAGATCCTCAGCTGGTGAAAATTGGCATAGCTCACTAAAGTGTTTGGTGCTATGCTGATTTACATCAGATGAGGATCTCTTCTTATGAACTTTGGAAAAATGTAATTTTGTGGGATTAAAAGAAGGGTGCAGAACATTTTATAGCAATGAACTATGATATGGGCACTGTCCCACTTCCACTGAAGTTACTGGAAAAATTTACACTGGAGTCTTTGGATCAGGCCCTAAGAGATAACAGTTTGCAATTGCTTAGATCAAAGGGAGATAAAAGACAACAGGCATATCAAGTTGTGAACTTCCAGTCCCTGACTGAAACAGCTTGCAATATAAATTAGAAATAAAATAGCTAGGTAGTCAGTGGATGGGATATGGAAGGAAGAGAATTATAACAGTGAGAGAGCATGCAATATGTTCACAACCATGTATGAATCTCATATGCTACTGTTAGGTTTTATTATTAATAATTAATTTTATTTATAGTATTTTTTATATATATAATGTGGTAAAGTTTGGCGCAGTGTGTGGAGGAGTTCAGGAAAGGAGCCAAATGGAACTTTCCTATCATACTACAATGGCAGATCTTTTCAAACCTTCACTATTAAAAGCTCTGTCTGCATTAATCCTGGAAATGCACTTTTGGGATGGTGCATGGAGCTAACATTTCCCCGATGTAGCTAGGGCTTTGGCATGCATGTGATTTTTTTTTTTTAAATTGTGCTAGACTAGAGAAATCATTATCAAGAGCACAGATTTGTAGAATGGTTTAAATGGTTATAGCTTGGCTAAGCCTTGTCTACACTGACGAGAGAAACTATCCTAGCACCTCATATTTGAATATGGCATTGGCTAACATAAGCTGCAATGTAGACTGTGGTGACCTGTTCAGAAGGACCCACATTTCTTACATGCACTTAAATATTTCTGCTAGAGGCAGCACAGGATAGAAGTTTGTCTTTTGCCTGCCATCTCTGTTCTGGTGAGCAGAATTTCTCAGTTGGATGTAAACTCTCTAAATATATTTAGAAATGTATTATTTTGATACCCCCATTACCACAAGAGGCATCCTGCTGTTTTATATAGTGTTTTGAATATTCCAGCCTTCTGTTGCTGGTTTCCACAATGGCACTTTTTTATATGTGCTAAAATATGGCCACCTCATGTTAAGTTTCCAATATAATCCTTGAAACTGGTCATAAATAACGTTTACAGTGTTCCTATCAGTAATGAATGTGTTAAGTGTGGTTTAGGTTTGAATGGAGTAACATCAGATTTAAATATAATTCTACATTGCAGAATTTTATGCAGGTTAACCTCTGTGCACATTACAGAATAAAATAAACTAGCTCAGTGATCTAGAGATGGTGTACACTGTGCCCATGGGTGAATGAGATTGATTCTTGCAACAGTCTGCTAACAAAATTGTTTAGTGTGTGAAGTGCATGTAGATCGTGTAATCAGATTCATGGCTGCTGTTCTTATTTAGGGCACAAGGTGTTGCAGATTTCTAGAGAATAATAAAATACAATCTTAATTTAAAAAATAAAAAAGAGGAGCCATACCTAGGAGGTAAAATAAATCAACTTCAGACACCTAAGATATCAGAGGAACAATGCTTTTTAATTTTCCTGTAATTTGATCATTACTATTTAGTTATTTTGAGGTTGATTTACTTATTTATTTTTATTTCAGAATTAAAATTCTAATGAGCTCTAATATGTGGAAGGGAAAGTTTTTACCGAATTAAAAAATGCTGTTAAACTTGTCACTGAAAGTGGACCTCAGTGCAGTTAATTTTTAACAAGCTTTTATTGCAGAGTTCACTAGATGATCAGTCATAGATTTTTAGATGTTTGGATTCAGCTGTTAACTCTTCCTGTCACTGGAATAAAACCAAGTTTTACAAGTTTTAATTCGTGTGTGTGTGTGAGTGAGAAGAGAGAGAGAGAAAGAGAGAGGAATAGTACCATTTATCAAGAATCTCATATTTAACTAAAACAACCCTGAAAGGGAATGCTCTCAGTAATTGCTCTTTAACAGATTCAGGTGGAAGAATGCCAAGTTTTTTTGTTACACAATAGGTGCAATCATGTGATAGAGTTTCCAGTTGGGAGTTGAAAACCGAAAACCTGACATGCATAAGTGAATAAACCTGCCCTATGTGATGTGTTGATTTAGTATTTTTCCTCCTTAAAAATACAGCTGGAGTTCTGCCTTTGTCTGGGAACTGAACAGACAAGGCTATGTGCAACACAAAATTAATTTTGCATTGACATTCTGGATGTTGGTGATAATTTGTACTGACATTGTGGCTATTGGTTATTATTGTGACAAGCAGGCTTGATCCAAGTGGACACTGTGAGAGCCAAATTTAATAGACTTATCATTGTAATTTTCTGCCTTGAGGACAACAGAGACTTTCCAGTGTTCCTTTACCACAACAATCATGGATTACAATATAACAAGTCCACAGGATTGGGAGAGGATTGAGGGGATTAATGGAGTATGACAAAATTGCACCTAAGGGGGAAAAGTCTGTCGCAGTTTCTCTATGGTGATGTGGTAGGCCAGGCAAATTGGCAATTGCTACTGATCTTTACACATGCATGTCTTCAAATAAAGTGTGTGGAAAGTCAAGCGGAATGCAACTATGTGGCTAAGGCTGTCATGATCATTTATGTCTCAAATGTACAAATCACTTAATACTATCTTTTTAAGTATTTCAGTGATCAACTACATTAAGCATCAATAGATTGTAGGCATTGCACTAAATCATTTTATGTTCTGTTATAACCTCTTATCCTGCCAAACTAAATCCTAAAAAAGATTAAAATGTAGGGTTAGGCCAAGTCTCTTTAAGATTAATTAAGGAATATAATTCCTGTTCAGTAGGAATGTTCCAGCCTCAGAATTTTAGAAACACTGATATTAAAATAGGTTTGCTGTCTGCATTTATTTGCTGACATGCTTTTAAATAAGACCCCAGTTCCCCATCCCTTTAAAAATGTCCATCTCACAGCAGAATATATTTTAGCCCTATTTCTCATGGAATATGAGTATATTAGTAACAATATTGGCATGTGGGGATTGCCAGTATTGGGTTTGGTTCTCCTCTCACATGGGTGTAAAATAGGAGTCAGTCCATTGACTGCAATGCAGTTACATCTAGGTGAAAACAAAGAGACTAGGAGAATGACACTTGTTTTGGTTTGTGACAGGAAATCCTGACTCTTCATTTCAAGCATATTTAGATAATTAGAGCTAGATGCTTTTCTCTTTTACACTGGCACAAATTTGGAGTACATTTGGTTTTAGATTTATGCTGGTGTAAATGCCGGCAGAACCTGGTCCCTAGAACATCCTTCTTCCATGGAAATTAATGTGAGCGCTTAATTATTAATTAAAAAAAAACAACAAAACAAGTCATGTCAATCTAGCAAGAACTACACAAGAGGGACAAAATTAGCGAAAGAAGAAAAATCACAAACATTTATCAGTGGCTGAGGTCATAGCTCATGTGTTTTGAATCGTTTAGGAAGTGCTTTTGCAGCAGTGTTGACTGAAGGTCATGTTGTTATTTAGGCTTTTTGCTCGTAGGCCAGCAGGCAATTCATTAATTCCATTAGCTATCCACTCCGCAGGCTGAGACGTGCAGATGTAATTGTCAACAATTCCTACAGTATATTTAAGCTGTCAAGGCTTCTGTAAGGGTTCTGTTATCCTGTTTGGTGATATCAGTAGGCACGGAGGGTTATTTCATGTCTTTAAAAAGTAGAAATAAAGAGAACTTTGTGCTACAGAACCTATCCTAAAAGATTTCAACTTCACTGTTAACTTAAAGTGACATTCCAGCACAGAAACGCTGAGTAGATTTCTAACTGGCAAAGTTTCTGATTTTCTTTTTTTAAATGAGTCTTGAAGCCATTACAGTGTTCTCTCTAAACCCAAACCTGTATTCTTTCTAATAGCCAGATGGAGGAGTTCTCTTCTCCTTCCCAATGGCACAGTGATACATACAGTGGCCCAGATCCTGCACACTGCTCCATGTGGGTAGATTCTTGTGCAGAGTACAGGTGAAGCCGGTGGTGCTCTGTGCAGGCACACAGGTTTCCTCCCACATGGATCCAGTTGCCCGATTGGGGCCTATATTTTTTTATACCATCATTTCACCCTAAAATTTCTGGTGGGTAAGTGAGAAGGAAAAGTGACAAACGACGAACATGTTTTGTCTGTCACTAGTATATATTCTTAATATTAACTGGTTGTTAGTTGCTTTGATGGCTTTTGTGTCTGAGTGATGGTCAGAACCAGAATGTACTATATTTAGTAAATGAGAGGCAAGGAGATATTCCTGACTTATGAGCCCAGTCAAAAGTAGATCGTATCTGCATGCGTGTGTCTGCCCGCTAAGCCAGGCACTGTTATGAAACAGTGCCCTGCAGAGAAAAGTTTATTTTCTCACGTAGAAGAGACCGTTACCTTGAAAAGATTGCAAGACTGCTTGGAGTGAAATGCCTCATATTTAGCTGTGATGCGTGAGTCCTGGAGAGGTACACAAGAATTTAACTTGCTCTTCCGCTCTATAGCCTACATAAAAATAGCCTGCTCTCTCTTGAGATCTTAATACACCATAAAGCCTTAGTGGCATTTAAAAATCTTTAACTTTCAGTTAATATACATTTCAGTATGTTGCTTTTATTTTAACAATAATGAATATAAAGCTGTGCTGTCCTTCGCCATGCTTTGAGCTGTTCAGATAACGCACGGCAGGGTAGTTAGGCATGACTCAAATAGGCCCACTGTGCGCTATTTGAATGGAAAGTACTTCTTTTCATTCATCATTGCTTAACTAGTTTTCTGGTTATGTGTTTCCTAAACTTTCTGAATGACACCCTTATGCCCACAATTCCTAATTTGTTTAAGGTCAGTGCCAAATACTTGACACTCTGTTAAAGCTGTTATTCCTTAAGCTCTGTTTGTAAAATGGTCAGGTTACTGCTCATTTTTGGATGTTGCAAAAGAAAATGCATTTCACGTATTTCTGGAGAAATCCTTTGTCACTGTGTAACAAATGATTATTCTATGAAAGATGACAAAATGTGGTAAAGGAGTCTGTCTGGGAAAAGGTTCCCCCTATTATGTGATATAACGTATGAGTAATCATAAATGTAAAACACTTGATGTGACAATTTCCTATAATTATTATTCAGTAGTTAGTAGGCACAGTATACTATATTACTCCTGTTATGTATTTATACGGTGGACGCTATGTATTCATAATATGGTTTAACATGTTGCATACGTAGTATCTACCCAGCTGAGGGATATTCTTCCCCCAAGTTGACAATTGAAAACTGACAGTGTTCTTTTTCTTTTCTTTCTTTTTCTTTTCTTTTCTTTTCTTTTCTTATGAGCCACTACAAGGTAGAAAATATTTAAGGATAGCAGTGTATTTACTTCTTCTTTACATTACCGATTGTTGAATCTCTCTCTGTCTCTCTCTCTCTTTATATATGCAAGAAATAGCTGAAAAAATCAGGTAAAGTGTTTCAATGTTTTAAAGTAGTAGTAGATACCATTGCTATGTATTTATTACAGGCATAGTTTAGAAGAGAAGAAGATGATGTCAATGATTCTGGAATATTTTCTTCATTGTAGTGGCCACTGAGTTGAATGGGAATTCATTGATGTGTATAGTAATACATCTTGCAATTCATGGTTTCTAATCAATGTTGGGCAGTGAAAACCAACAACTGTACTTTATAAAATGGACCTTTGTGCATTCTGATTTGATTTAAGAATTGATTTCATAAAAGAAGGTATTCAAATAGTTGTACAATTAAAATGTGTTAAGTTCCATTTTTCTTTTGCTATATTTTGTAAAACATTTTCAATGTAAACAGTATGCGTCTCACACATGTCAAATCAAAAGTCCTACTATTTATTCAAAAATATATTTACCTAATGTAACTGGAAGCTTATTGCACTCTCATAAATGTATATATTGTGACTTCAAAAGTATGTACTGAACTTTTGCTTAAACTACTTAGTATGTGGATTTCTTTCAAATTTATTTTTCATTAATGATATTAAGGTTAAGGTCCTTTACTATATGTACTTTAAAATTCACAATAAAGTTTCAGAATTTGTTTTATACAATGCTGAGGTTTTGTGTTGAATTTTATTATGGAAATCTGTTTGTACTGATACCTTGGTAAGGTCCATTCCTTGAGCTGCGTGTGTAAATCTGTTTCACATCATAATGATTTAAATCGGGTCTGTCATATGAGAAATGGCCATATCTCCATTCAGTGAAGAGCTGTCTTGTTTTAAATAGAGAAGGGTGCTCTGCTGAAGAAGGGAACTACTGACACCTATGCAATCTATGCTTGAGAAGGCAAAAGCCAAGAATTCCTAGTATCTCAGTGTACTGGGCTCAGTGATGAGGAAATTTATACAGTAACTGGTGGGTCAGTTCTAGCCAGCAAAGAGTACAGAAGAAGGTAGGTGGGCTAAAGGAATAAACATGGAGGAAAACATTTAGGTACATTGGGTATATATTAATGAGTATATTCATTTAAAAATTCTAAATCACCATTTTATAACTTACTATGAAAGGAAAAAATCATTCACAGATTTACAATGTTAAAATACACTGTTAACTCGCTTTTATAGCCTTTCATTTTGCTCTTTACGTACCTGTTGTTTTTAATGCTCTTTTATTACCGCATCCTGCAGTAGTTACTTAGGCAAAGCTTTCGTTGACAATCAGTGGCGATTTCTCCTGAGTAAAACTGGTATTGGATCAGGCTCTTAAAAGCTCCTAATTTTTTCACTTCCTTTCTCTATCCCCGTGTCAAGGTTCCTCCCCCACTCTGAACTCTAGGGTACAGATGTGAGGACCTGCATGAAAAACCTCCTAAGCTTATCTTTACCAGCTTAGGTCAAAACTTCCCCAAGGTACAAAATATTCCACCCGTTGTCCTTGGATTGGCCGCTACCACCACCAAACTAATACTGGTTACTGGGGAAGAGTTGTTTGAACGCGTCTTTCCCCCCAAAATACTTCCCAAAACCTTGCACCCCACTTCCTGGACAAGGTTTGGTAAAAAGCCTCACCAATTTGCCTCGGTGACTACAGACCCAGACCCTTGGATCTTAAGAACAATGAACAATCCTCCCAACACTTGCACCCCCCTTTCCTGGGAAATGTTGGATACAAAGCCTCACCAATTTGCATAGGTGACCACAGACCCAAACCCTTGGATCTGAGAACAATGAAAAAGCATTCAGTTTTCTTACAAGAAGACTTTTAATAAAAATAGAAGTAAATAGAAATAAAGAAATCCCCCCTGTAAAATCAGGATGGTAGATATCTTACAGGGTAATTAGATTCAAAAACATAGAGAACCCCTCTAGGCAAAACCTTAAGTTACAAAAAAGATACACAGACAGAAATAGTTATTCTATTCAGCACAATTCTTTTTCAGCCATTTAAAGAAATCATAATCTAACACACACCTAGCTAGATTACTTACTAAAAGTTCTAAGACTCCATTCCTGGTCTATCCCCAGCAGAAACCAGCATATAGACAGACACACAGACCCTTTGTTTCTCTCCCTCCTCCCAGCTTTTGAAAGTATCTTGTCTCCTCATTGGTCATTTTGGTCAGGTGCCAGTGAGGTTACCTTTAGCTTCTTAACCCTTTACAGGTGAGAGGAGCTTTCCCCTGGCCAGGAGGGATTTCAAAGGGGTTTACCCTTCCCTTTATATTTATGACATCCCGTTTGTAAATTTAAAATGTGACATTGTTTTGCTTATAAAACCTCTCAGTATTCTTTTTCTTGACAAAATATCATCACCCTTTATAATCATCATCAGCTGATTTGAACAGCATTGCTCAGGAATAGAGGTTTATTTCAGCTAACTGCTGTGGCAGAGCTAGCCAAGAACACAACATATTTTAATTTTTCCTTGGGAAACACAAAAAATTAGGGACATTAAAATTTTTTTTTTGACAACACATTCTTAGGGACTGAGACTTCTCCCATTAAAGTCCACAGTAGTTTTGCCATTCATTATAGTGGGAGTGGGATCAGGTCCTTAGATTTTATAGATGGGATTTTCAGAAACACTCAGTGGCAGCCTAACACTGCTCCCATGGATGTCAGTTTGAAAACTCCAACTGATTTCCATGGGAGCAGAGTTAGGTGAATACTGAGCAGTTCCAACCTGTATGGAGATGTATAACCCTCTACAGTGCAGTCATTCACATTTAAATTTTTGAAATCTAGGAACATGCCCATTTCAGGATTTCTTTCAGAAATCCAAATATATTTTCTAAACTCTGGTTCAGACAACTGTTGGCTAATTCAAATGGAGATTTTATAATCAGAACCTGGCAAAGCTATGTAATTGAAGGGTCAAATTCTGCCATCCTTTGTTTTCTATATGTATGGTTCCCAGTAAGAGCCAGGTCAACACTGGATCCCAGTGTAGAAAACACTTTGGCCAAGTCACTACTGACAAACAACTTTAATAAAGTTACACCAGTGGAGAATTTGCCCTCCCCCCCTTTTTTATAGTGTGATTCCTTTAAAAAAATCTGAAAAAGAAAGTCAAATTGTCATTTGAAAAGCTGAATTTGAAATTCATGCTCTTAAAACACCTTCAGGTCATTGCAGAGATACCTAGTATCTCCATGCTTCGCTGTTTCTGCAACATTCAGTACCATTTACATCATTAAAGTTATGGTATAGACAGCCTCTGTCCACATGCTCAGTTGAATAAAAGCCTTGATACTCCAAGCAAGAGAGAAGCAAACATTTTTCATCCCTAAAATGGAAAAGGATATTGAAGTAGTATCATGCGAGGAAACACTCAGGACGAACAGGAGGTAGGCTGGATTGTCTGTGTCTTACAAATATAGCCAGGGTCAAGGAATAACACTGGTGCTATTCTATAGCATAACTAAAGATGATTATTCATAATTTTCAAAAATTAATGTCATACCAATGTCTATTGCCTATTTTCATGCTACCCATCATCAGTTCTGTCTGTCTTATTTCCATGTCATTCATACTGTAATTGTCTTTTGATGAATGTCCTTCTGTTGCAGGCTGTTACTGGTGTTCACATTCCCTCTCTTCCTTTTCACCATATACTCTAATATCTTTTATTTTAATACAAGTGACAATGGCAAATGATTTCTGTAATTTAGATCCAGATCGCATACTCTCGACTCAAGTTGGTGGGCACTTCTAGATCTTACGAATGGTCCTGTTAATTTCAATATCACACAGTGTTCTTGTGAGTGAGTGCTCAATAACGTGTGAAAGGTTGTGTGATCTGGCTCTTAATATATTGGTTCATCTGTGCAGAATTTGCACTTGGTAAAGGTTACATTGCCCTTTGTTCATTATTAAAGAGTTAAACCTGCTGTCCCTGAGCAATGGGCCCGATTTTGATAATAAAATATCAGTTTTACAATACTGTAACTTCATGGTATAATTTCTCCTGTTATCCACATGTGTCAGATCAGAATCAGAGCTCGGTACTATCTTCATACAAACCAGAGTGCAGGCTCAAGATCCAGTTTTTCAAGTCACAGAATCCTAGAGTCTTAGAAATGTAGGACTAGAAGGGATCTTACGATGTCATATAGTCCCGAGCCCTGTGCGGAGTCAGGACCAAATAAACTTAGACTATCCCTGACAGATGTTTGTCTAACCTGTTCTTAAAAACCACCAGTGATGGGGATTTCACAACCTCCCTTGGAAGCCTATTCCAGTACTTAACTACCCTTACAGTTAGAAGGTTTTTCCGAAAACTAACCTAAGTCTCCCTTGCTACAGAGTAAGCTGATTACGTTTTGTCCTACCTTCAATGAATGTGGGGAACAGTTGATCACCATCCTCTTTATAACACACTTAGTGTAAGTGAAGACTATCAGGTCCACCCTCAGTCTTCTTTTCTCAAAACTCAACATGCCCAGTTCTTTTAACCATTCCTCATCGGATAGGTTTCTAAACCTTTTATCATTTTTGCTGATGTCCTCTGGACTCTCTCCAATTTGTCCACATCTTTCTTAAAGCGTGGTGCCCCAAATTGGACACAATTCTCCAGTTAAGGTCTCACCAACGCAGAGGGGAGCAGAACAATTGCCTCCTGTGCCTTACGTACAGAATTATATTAGCTTTTTTTGCAGCTGCATCACATTAAAGACTTATATGATGATTACCATGTGGGCCCAAGAAACAAGAAAAAATGGCAAATTTGTTATGTATCCAATCGGAATGTAATAAATATTCAGGCTCAGTAGCAATATTCTACAGAAGTGTTGAACTTTAAATCTGGCACTACTGTGACTGAACAAACATAACAGCATTGTCAGCTCTCAGTTGTTTGATGTTGCATACTTTTTCTACGTTATGTGACATTTATTTATCCATCAAGTTAGATGTTAACAAAAGCAACTGAAAGTTAGACTCAGCCACTTTCCTGTGTATGTATGTATTTAATGGGATTTTTTTTTAAACAAAACAAAACATTTCTTTTGCCCATGAAGTACTGCAGAAAGTGCTTGAGCATCTTTGTCTTGCAGTTTACTTGAAAGAAGAGGCCAAGGCTGGAGTGAACTTTCCAACAGCCAATGTGTGACAAAGCATGCTTAATAGGAAATGAAGTCAAATGTTTTTCTCTTTGAAAATGGCTTCCCTTAGATTTGATGGGAAGCAGATTTACTGTAAGAAGTTGTTCAATTCCATTCTTGCTTGTTCACTTTGCATTTCATACAAAATGTTTTCTTGCATGGAACATGAAGCAGAATTTTGTCACTGTACTGCAGAGGGAAGAAACATAATGTGCTTTGGCGGTCCCTGACAAGATACATACATTAAAACTTTTAAATCTAAATATATGGGGGAAATGTATGTCATGTCCCATCATAGAGCTTCACAGCCATTGCATTCATTGCCACTGGTTACTAGCAAAGCTGTTCTTGCTTGTGTTTGTAGCTTGTTTCCCCTGCAAGTGCAAATACTTACACTGAGCTATATTTGGGAGATTGCTTTGTAAAGCTCTGCAAGTAAATAAAGTCTTGTTCATAAGCAATTTAACATGTAATCGTTGGTTAATGGGGGTTTTTTAAACAGTGTTT